TTATCAATTATTAATTTTACTGCTCAATTATTTTTCTACTGCTCATTTAATAATTTAACTCATTTTGGAATTATTTCTGTTACTGATCATTTCAATTATTATACTGACCAAAAAACAAATTCCCATTTATTACATGGTGAATGACATCTCATTGTATGAAAAGAAATCATAGTCTGACGAATGGCACTGTTGCTGAATGCTACGCAAATTAGTAAAGAACAATAATGCCCCTCAGTTTAATATACATGGAATTATAAAAGACTGACGAATAAGATAATGACTATTGTATGAATTGTATGACTTAGTGAATATACTACGTATATACATAGCATAGTATACGTTTACACAGTTGTTTCTTCTAACTGTATAACATCAGTTCGAGGTAAGCGCTCTAACATTAGAACTTTATCTTGAGTTGACATTTCTAAAATAGCTATCTTCTCTTTTTCATCATATTACTGTATCGTGTTCACCTGCTTAAAATTTGCTCTGCTCTTTTAATCTCCTTTTTAATCTGTCAAAAAATCAATATTTCGATCTCTGATAATACGCCGTTGGTTAGATAGCTCTATTGTAAACTGCTTGTTTGATCTTTTTGAAGGAAAAGCAATACTAAACGTATGAAACCTTTATGATTATCAATATAAATATTTCAATCCCAAGGATTTCTTGAATCTGAAGTTAACGGAAGGCAGAAAATCTATCCCTCTCATCCTGTTTTCTTTATTCTATCAATTGTATCTACGCCTACTGTACATTGAGAAATTGAAGAAAAAGAAACTGATTTTGCAAGAAGAGGTATATGGGAAAGTGTGAGCTATCTTACATATCATTCGAACCGTTCCGATTACCGCGATTCTACAACGAAATTTTTTTCATTTCTAATCGAACAATTTTCTTTTAATGTGTTGAAACCGCTGGAATCAGTCACACCGCCTAACTTTATTTAATTTTCGAGTTTAAGCATAATTAAAGATGGCGCTATAAAATTTACTGATTCGCTAGACAATTATCGTTAGAATACGAATTTAGCAAAAACTGGCAGAACTGAACGAAGCGTGTTATAGGAAGGCTTTTCTGATTAACATCAACATCTACATGAACATNTACAAATGAGAATAATTGATGAGTCTTGAGGGTGTGGGTGAAAGGTAAAAAAACGTCGAAAATCAGTTTTTCTAAAAACACATTTCTAGGGATATTTCGAGGCGGGAACTTCGAATCTGATGTTATTTTTTTAAGTTCTTTTTAAAAATGTTTTTTGGAGAAAAGACCATTTTTTACGAAAAAAAACTGTTGTTTTCCTAAAATTTGACCATAGGGTTTTCGAGGTATGGAGATACGAATCTAACATTAGCTTTTTAAAGTTTTTTACAGAATAAAGTTATATACGCGATAAGGAATTAGAAGTGTAATATTTGAAAGCACTCCTTCTAAGAGAAAGAGCTGAGCGAGTCTGTTGACGAGCGTTACTTGTGTGGACATCATGGCACTATAGTCAGCTTTTGCTTAGGTCTTGTCAACGAGGCAGGCGAAAAAACTTTTCGTGTGCCCCATGTAGCATAGATCTGTTCCGTACAGTATTATAGAAACGAAATATTTTATATGAAAATTCAAAGTACAATTTGTATTTGTATTTGCGCATCTCTGTACACACATACACACACTCTCTCTCCTATATTTTTTCAAACAGCTAGTATAAAAATGCATTAACCACTCGTTCTTATAAGATGTATGAAAAATAGCTATGCAAACGAGTCTCAATTACACGAAATGACTCATGTGAACAAAATCGACGTGTTTTTGTTGACTCCTCCCATATATTGTCGATTGTAATTTTTTTGGTTCGTGGTCATATAGTAGTTTGTTTTACTTGCGCAAAAAGATCACAAGGAACAATAAGCAATATTCATCCACTCTATTTCTTAAGCAAAGTATGCAATTGTTTGATAGTTATCGTTTCCACTATCCTATCTAGTTATGCTTTTTTCTTCCTTCAACACAGAGAGCGAATATGAATACAATACCTACACAAATTTTGTATTGTACAATGTTTTCATACAAAAAAAGAATGAAGAAAACCCCCTAATTTGTTTTTCTCGTGATTATTGTTACGGGCCGATAACTGCTACGGCTAAAAATAAGAGAAATTTTTTTTTTCTTCTTTTGTATATGCATTTTCATGTTTTTTTTTATGAATATACGAGAAACAAAAATAATGTCATGCATCTTCATTATTCGAATTTGCTGCTAAAGAGTTTTTAGCGAGTGCATATATTTCTCATTATTTTTCTTATAATACTTCTATCTGATAATGAAAGAGAAACATTAGTTTAAAAATTTCATGTTATACAAAATATTCCATTTATTCTTTTTTTTCTAGTTTTTTAGGAATTTTTCGTGTTTGCATATCAAAATGTGTACCAACGTTGATATACTTATTTTTGGCGCCCATCCTGATGATGTAGAGATAGGTATGGGTGGTACGATCGCAAAACATACAGCAGCAGGTGTGAAGATAGGTGTTTGTGATTTGACCACCGCTGAACTATCAACGAACGGGACAGTTGAATTACGTAAACAGGAGGCAGAAGAAGCGAGAAAAGCATTAAATATATCTTATCGTAGTAACTTAGGATTACCTGATCGTGGTTTGGAGCGAACACAGACACAAATTGCTGCAATCACTGCTGAAATTCGACGAACTAGGCCAAAAGTTGTATTTGCACCCTATTGGGAAGATCGACATCCTGATCATGTCACCTGTGGTAAACTAGTAGAAGAAGCTGTATTTAATGCAAAACTTGGACGCTATATGCCAGAATTACCGCCGATAGCAATCGATAAACTATATTATTATTTTATTAATGATATTGGCAAAGCGGATTTACTTGTCAATATTACTGAAGTATATGAGAAAAAGTTACAAGCACTATCTTGTTACCGTTCACAGTTTGTAAAAGAATTCAATAATGAATCAATAGTTACACCTCTGAATAATAAATATATTGAATATGTCAAAAGTCGTGATTCACTTATTGGACATCGTTATTCAATACCATTTGCCGAAGGTTTTGCAATTAAAACACCATTTGTAATTGATTTTTTCATACAATAATTTCGTATATTATTTTAGTTTTTACGATTCTAAAATTTTTGTTTCATCTACTTTTTAGATAAATATAAATTTAGATACATGACAATGACAAACAAAAAATTGAAAATAGGTATCGTTTGTTTTTCTTTTTTGGGTGGTTCAGGTGTTGTTGCTACAGAACTTGGTAAATTATTAGCTGAAAATGGACATCAAATTCATTTCATTGCACATGATATACCGTTTCGTCTGGACATTTCTTCTACAAATATTTTTTATCATGCTATCAAAATAAATAATTATCATACTTTTCGATATCCATTATACGATTTAGTACTTGCAAATAAAATAGCACAAGTAGCTAAGATGGAGCAACTCAATATTTTACACGTACATTATGCTATACCTCACGCAATTTGTGCAATTCTAGCTAGACAAATAGTCGGTGATCATTTGAAAATAGTTACAACTTTACATGGTACCGATATTACTATGTTAGCCCATGATGAAACATTGAAAGATTTGGTAAAATTATCTATTGATCAAAGTGACGCTGTAACGGCCGTCTCAAAATATTTAATTCAAGAAGCTCAAATATTATTGAAAACTACATGTGATATCGATTTGACGTATAATTTTTATAATGAACATATATTCTATCCAAAAGATACAGATGACTTGCGTAAAAGTTTAGGTATTGAAGAAGATCAAGTGTTAACACATATTTCCAATTTTCGACCGGTTAAACGTGTCTCTGATGTTATCGATATTTTTCTACTTGTAAATAAAGAAGTTCCGTCGACAAGACTAATATTTGTTGGTGATGGACCAGATATATCTGAAGTACAAAGGCGAGTACATGAATTAAAGTTGTATCAACGTGTTCATTTTCTCGGAAAGCAAGCTGATGTATCACATATCATGTCATTGACTAATGTTTTACTATTACCATCGGAACAAGAAAGTTTTGGATTAGTCGCACTCGAAGCAATGGCATGTGGTGTGCCTACTGTTGGATCAAATGTAGGTGGAGTTCCAGAATTAGTTATTCATGGAGACACAGGTTTTCTTGCACCTATTGGAGATACGAAGACAATGGCAGAATATACCAAACGTTTACTAACAGACAAGTCACTATCGGATCAAATGATGCATCAATGTTTAAAGCGAGCAAGGGCAAATTTTACCGGTATTCACATCAGGTCAAACTATGAACAAATTTATTACCGTGTTTTAAATTCAAAATTATCTGAAGGATGAGAATGCAAGTGTATGAGTATTATTTCACTGTCATTCGTCGAGAGAAATCATTTAATATCCTGATTGAAATAAAAATATTCTATCATAATAGTATTTCGAAAAAGGCGTCAAAAATATTTACATCGATATTCATTAAAGTTGATAAAGCTCGATGAAGATTTAATATCTTCATACCTGTTCTATACTAATGAGATTATGCATTTGCTTTGTCTTGAAAGAAGCATTTGTTCTTTTCTTCGTTCTTTTAGATAATAATTCTTGAATACACATACAAAAGTTACTTAAACCGAAGAAAAATTAACTTGTGTATCTAATAAATGATATATGGCTGTTACACGAATTAATTTCCGAGATACAAATGCATTTTCTAAAATTATCCTTGATTATCTAGAGGAAAAAGAAACAATTCGACCTTTTTACAAATATCCAATGAATATATCATCGTTTCAATCTGTAATCGAAGATAAATCAAAAGAAATGATTAATAGAAGGATCTTAGTTGATGTTCTGAAGCAACAACATCAACATTTACCTTTTAATGAAAAAGTAAATGAAAATATTCAATTATTATTGAATGATAATACTTATACGGTAACAACAGCACATCAATTGAATATTTTAACAGGGCCATTATATATTATTTACAAAATTATTAGCACAATTAATTTAGCAAAACATATTAATGAAAAATATTCTACAATAAAAGTTGTTCCCATATTTTGGATGGCAACAGAAGATCATGATTTTATTGAAATTAATCATATCAATCTGTGTGAAAAGAAAATAGTCTGGAATGTGGAAACTGACAAAGAAGGTCCCGTTGGACGAATGAATACATCGAATAGTATTCAAAATACAATTGAAGAAATAAAATCTGTTATTGGAAATTCTGAAAATGGATTACGATTAATATCAACTATCGAAGATGCATATTTAAAATCAACTTCGTTAGCAGAAGCAACACGTTATTTACTTCATCATTTATTTCATGATCAAGGATTAATTTTATTGGATGCTGATAATCATGATTTAAAACAGAATTTTTCGAAAATTATACTACAAGATATTCTGACAAGACAAAGTATTTATTATGTTAATAAAAGCAATCAACAAATGAAAGGTCATTATAGAACACAGGCAAAATCTAGTGAAATTAATTTCTTTTATTTACTTGATAATTATCGAGTACGAATTGTTACAGATGGAGATAAATTTAAAACATTTGATAATAAATATACATTTACAAAAGAACAATTGAAAGAAGAAATAGAATTATATCCTGAACGATTTAGTCCAAATGTAATTATGAGACCATTGTATCAAGAATTATTACTTCCAAATCTTGCTTATGTTGGTGGTCCAGGTGAACTCGCTTATTGGTTACAATTACGACTTCTGTTTGATTTTTACAATGTCAATTTTCCGATGTTAGTTCTGAGAAATTGTTTATTGATCATTAACGAGAAAAATTTTGAATTTATTGACAAAAGTAATATTTCAATTTCGAATTTGTTTTTACCTATTGATGAATTAATAAGAAAATTTGTTATTCAAAATTCAAATGGTCAAATCAATTTGAAAGAAGAAGCTGATTTAATGGAACAATCTTTTAAACAAATTTTAGATAAAACTGTGCGTATTGATTCCACATTAGAAGACCAAATTCAAACAGAGAAATATAAAATATTAGCCACATTAAAAACCTTGGAAAGAAAATTATTAAAATCTCAAACAAAAATATTCGAAACAGAAATTGAACAATTAAAGAAAATTAAAGAAGAATTATTTCCATCTGGAGATTTACAAGAGCGTTATGAAAATTTTATTAAACATTATTTATATAAAGGAAATCATTTTATTTTTGATTTAATTAATATTATGACGCCATTATCAAAAACATTCACAATTATTTCATATAAAAGACATTAATAATCAAAAAATCTCTCATTTTAACACTTTTTCAAAGAATAAACTACATGATGTTTTCTTTCAACACCCACATCCTCACCCTAATTAATCCAGAATATCTAAGAAAATGAATTCATTATTTGATGTTAATAAAATATTACTAAAAACAGGATCATCATGAATAATTGTATTTCTGAATCAATGTGAAGCGAGCGCCAAAAATGAGAGAAATCTTGGTAAAACTTAGAGAAAACACGAACGGATTCGTTTCTTCACTTCTGGCACTTGTTCCAGATACAACTCGATGATGAGTTCTATCGATTCCAATTTATAAAATGTTTCACTATCACCCTCGGTATTACTTAATACAAGTCGAGATCCAGATTATAATTGTTTCTTTTGAAAATAAATAATAAAAAAAATCAGATGAATAGTCGACGTTTCCGATCATAATAAGTAAACACTCGGAAAAATTCCATCATGTCCTCAATATTTCAAAAACAACAAATCATTGTATCTCGATATTTCGATGAAAAACCCATTTGCAGTTTTTCTCTATTTTTATTTTTGAAATCTCCTTCTATTCGATCAGTAACAAATAAACAAACAAAACTACGTAGATGGTGAAAATGTGTTATTTACTCAATATAAGACAGCAATGCATTCCATTCGGCTCTGATTAAACACATGTTCCGACTGTTTGACAACATCATGAGATTTTTCATGTTCTCCTCTTATTATTTGGGATCACAGACTGACAATGTTTTCTTTACCATCGACCCCACCCTCTTCATCTGATCTTCTATGTTCCAAAAATGTCGTTACTTTTCAAATAATACATTTCATTTCTTTTCATGATTCCATTTAGAGAAGAAATCTTCTACTCACGTAACAATAATGGAGAATTTGGAAATATCACGTGAAACCAGCGCGTCTCCTCGTCTAGCGTTTGTGTCAATTCCACCAGTTACACATCAAATATTTCCCGAAGAACTTCCTACTGTTGCTGATCGGATCAAATCACGTCGTCGTCGTTCCATCATACGTGAGTTCAGTTTAAATACATCAACACATGGCTTACCTGGCATGGCTCGTAGTGAGAGCAAACATAATTTTGTTTTTTGGTTCATTTCATTTCTTGTTTTTACTGGTATTATGATTTATTTTGTTACTAAAGCAATTCTCGATTACTTTGAATATCCCACTCAAAGTGACGTTAATGTTATTCGAGAATGGCCACAATATTTTCCCGCAGTTAGTATTTGTAATGCTGCCATTTTTCGACTTGATACATATATGCCAGCATTTATCAAATACATTAAATCGCGAAATATCACTATTCCATCAAATATGACAACGATTCCTCCGAATCTTTATCCATTTATTTTAACTTTTGCCGTTGATAAATTGAATTCCAATGAAACTTTAATTCCATACTTCTTTTCACTTCAATCTATGCTTAAAAGATGTACTTACAATAATTTACCATGTTCAACAAACGATTTTATAACATTTTCTGCGGCAACACATGGTCTTTGCTATACATTCAATGCAAGAATGAAAATTGACGATGGAAAAAGTGTACGATACAGCAATCAAGACGGTCGCACTGGTGTACTCGAATTAGAACTCTATGTACATAGTCATTTATATCCTCCTTCTTTTTTCACCGGTAACAACTCGATAAATTAAACAAATATAATTTGACCTTTTTTTAAATTCAGGTGTTGGTATGGTGACTCTCGTCCATGATAATAGTCATTTGCCATTGATTGAAACAGCTGGTATTTTTCTCTCTCCAGGACGAAAACATAAATTAGGTTATAAGAAAAAGACGAGCTATTTTTTACCGTCACCGTATACAACGTGCACGACGAAAGTACCTCTGCCAATGAGAGTCATGTATGATACTTATTATAATGGCGCTGACTATGGATATTCTCAAACTGTCTGTTATCAACTTTGCGAACAAACTTATGTGTAAGTGTGTGTGTGAAGAAAATGTTCAATATCGAGATTAAACGATATTTTAGTTATGAACAATGTGGTTGTGTCAATCCTAATCAATGGAATGCTCGTTCGATTGTTCTACCGGGTACAGATCAAATTATTTTAGCGCCGTCGTGTGCACCAGTTTTTGTCAATGCTTGTTATTCTCGAGCTGCGGATGTTCTGTACAATTCACCTTCTCTTCTTGAAAAATATTGTTCTGATTGTACATCAGATTGTTCATTAATCGATTTTGATCTTCAAATGTCATCTTTAGCTACACCGTTAGAATGGCAAATGGATGAAATCAAAACATTCGTCGAAAATTCTAGTATTCCAAAACCGTTATCTTGGATGACTGACTGGCAGACACATATTCGATCAAATTATCTCATCTTAACTGTTGTTCGTGAAACAACAATTGTTGAAAACAGCACTCAAAGTGCACAAATGACTTTGGTTGATGTTCTCTCAAATATTGGTGGTCAAACTGGCTTATGGATTGGCATTAGTTTTCTTTCTATAATGGAATTTATTGAACTTTTCTATCGTCTTGTTCGTCGTCAGTTCCAAATCATTTCTGCCAGATTGTGAAGAACACAACAAACATTCGTATATCTATTCATTTGTTTTACATTGTAATATTCGCTTAAACTGTACTATAACTTTTCAGAGAGGTTCTATTGAATCGTCTTCTTCTGACAGAATCTTATCCTACGGAATTATTTTTCCATCAGAATCGTTCTCATTCATCTCATCGATTCTACAACTATTAGACCACTGTTCTCGATCTTCCTATTTACCGAGTGTCCAGTGAAACAGTAATCTATCAGAGTGTTTATCATAACTTTTCCACATTCAACCATCTCTGCCCTTTTCTCAACAGAACACTGGATGCTGTTAAATGATATGATTGTTTATAAACTGCATCTATTAATTCGCTCAATTTTTCTCATCGACCCCTCAGCTAACCAACACAATCTAAAAAAAAACATTCTCTCAGGACTTGAGAACCTATAGGCATCTTCAGACTTTGTAATAGCGTAAAGGTATTTGACCTCTGACCTGCGACAGACACAAACACAAACGCATTTTCATTTTTTCGATCGCTATTTTTCTTATCGCCCTCCTTTCAGTCGAGGGAATTATTTTCAATTTGAAATTTTTTCTTTTCCATATCCACCCTCGTTATACGTCATTATCGAATGATGAAAACGAAAAGAAACGGGTGTTTTGAGCCAGTCAATTATATGATTTCGAATATTTTGATCAAAATCGCATTTTTACGATCATTACCTATCATAAACGAAAGAATATTTTTTTCATGTCGTCGTTGACGTACATATTATAGAGAGATAGAATCTTTGTAATGACTTAGTTTATAAAAAAGAATAAAAAACTTACCAATGAAAAGATAATTGGAAAATTTTTAAAAAGGTAGGAAGAGATATTCAACAAATGACATATATTTAAATGAAAATATCCACACCATACAATATTATTTCTTGTCGCTCTAACCGTCACAATAAAGTATCGTTATAGTGATGCAAGAATCCTCGTATAAATATTTGATTAGTTTTTAGATAAAATCGAATTGCAATGAAATTTTTTGATTTACACGAACCGGAAGATGGAAAAGATCGGTTCTTTTTATATGCAATGATTATTCTTCCATTTATTGGTTCTGGTTCTTATCTATTTGATGCATGGTATTATTATCTTCATTATTCTGATCAAAGAAGTTATTGTGGACTTTTATCGACAATATTAATCATATTTTCTTATTTACAATATGCAGCTCCTATTCGATCTCGTCGAACACGCGCTATTTATCATATTCTTTTATTTCTTGTTAATGAAGGAGCCATTCTTGGTTATTTATGTGCTTCTATAAAACAACATACAACATTTAAAATAATAATTTATAGTTTTTTTCTTCTAATAGAAATTTATTTTATTATTGGTTTACTTTATTGTCGAGTTTATAATGATTCGGAATTCAATATAATTGTTGAAAATAAACATTTATTTCATTTTATGTCTCGTCTTGAAGTTATTCTAACAATTTTTATTCCTATGTATTTAAATTTTAAATATGAATCATTTACACGAAATACAATTGCTTATTTTCTTTTATTTGATTTCTTTTCTGATTCATATTCACGTTTCCAAGGTATATGGATTAAATTAACATTATATTTATTCGTTACTGCTGTTACTGTGAGTGTTGCTTCTGAATGGTTCTATTTCAATGATCATCAACATGTCTATGAACAAATTTCATTTATTGCTGAAATTCTTTCAGCATTTCTGTGCGATACAATTATTATTTTACAATTTTTTCCATTTCATTTCAAAACTCGACATGTAATGAGTATTGCTCGACAAGCATTGGATTTTCATAATGATGTATATAAGAATACAATTAAACATCATCCAGTTGTACTCAATAATTTAGTACTGACTAATCAATGTACATTAAGCAACAATAAACTTAATAAGATGAACAGTGAATCCCATTCAATTATTGAAGTTTTTTGTTGACTTTTTTACTTTCAAATATAGAAATTTAGATTTTTCACGATATCGCATCTAAAGATTATGGGAACAGTCAAATAGTACTACAAGCTCTACTTGTGTCTTAATATATCATCCTCTTAGAAATAACCAACAATTAACAGTTTGGAAATGTGTGAGCACCAAAAGAGTTGACTGTAGACTACTTGAATAGTTGAAAAGTTCAAGTAGTCAACTATTCAAGTATAATAAGTGAATACTCGAACAGATAGTTGAATATTTGAAATCAAGTTTCGAATTTGACACTAGTGGGAAAGATTAGACTTCATTAGAAACTATTTTATTCAATTTTGATCATATATTCAGAACGATAATGTTTATGAAAAACATTTTAATTTATTTTAAACTTTCATTACTTTTCAGGTACAATTTCAATAACTATTTTACCTACAGTACGACGAGTCATTTGCAGTCGAAATGCTTCTCGAATGCCTTCTTCTGTAAATGGAAGACGGTTGGCGATTGTTACTTTCAATTGATTGGTTTCACAAAAATAACGAAGTAATTCAAGTCTCTTAGCGCTATTCGGAAATCTAACCCAGAATAGTTGTCTACCTTTGGCGAACCAATCGATACCAAAAAATCGTTTCATATGTGCAAGTATCCAATCCGTTACCACCCCTCCAATCAAAATGTACATTCCAGTAATTAATTTCGGCTTTGAATTATGGATTCGAGTTTCATAAGCAAAATTCGAATCTTGTGGATCATGAGACGATACAGAATCAAAGACTAAGTCAAATGGACCATGAATGGACCTAATAGAATGTAAATCTTTCAAAATATCTACAGAATGATCATAGCAGAGAACATCGTCTGCACCGAGATTCTTAACAAACTCGGCGTTTCGTGAACCAGCCAATGCAGATACTCTTGCTTTTTTTATTTTTGCTATTTGTACAGCAACATATCCAGTTCCACCAGACGCACCTAGAACGAGAACATGTTGCCCATCCGTTAAATTATTATCTTCAAAGGCTTGAACGACGGTTAAGCCAACTAAAGGAATTGTACATGCTTCGGCAAACGACATATTCTTAGGTTTATGACTAATGAAATCTGTTGGTGCACGTACATATTCTGCAAATGAACCACAGAATGGAGGAATTGTTCCAAATACTGCGTCTCCTGCTGTGTATCCACATCCTGGAGGAGCTTCTATAACTACACCACTAAAGTCAATGCCACAAATTCGATCTTCAACAAACCATTTTACTAGAGGCAAACAGAAATGAGGTAGTTTATCTCCGTAAAGAAATTTTGCATCTACTGGATTGACTCCACCGCAATGTACGCGACATAATACCCATTGACGATCGGCAACTTCTCCATAAGGACCTGGAATAGTTGGAATAAGCCAACGTAATAGGTACATTAAATAACCAATGCAAACGAATACACTATTGATTATTTTGAAGAGAAAGAAACGAATAATAGTAGTGGATGTTGATTCATATATTGTTGATGATAATGTTGGACGCGGAACAGTGGCAAGTCTGATGCCACCAGTAGAATGTTTTGAATAGAGTGCAGCTTGCATACTTATGATTACACCACGTGTGTTTTGGATTCTTTTTCATACTCGTTTTTGTATTGATAAGTATGAGAGAAAAGGATCAGGTAGGAGAAGATAAGAAATTTACTATCAAAACATTCTTTCTCTATTCAAATCAAAATAAATAAATTTTCTTGTGAATAAAATTTAGTGAAAAAATACTAGTTACTAGTTTCTAGTGATTTTAAAAAATAAGTTTATTATTTGAATTCTGTTTCTCCAGGAAAGCAATAGTGCACATTACTGAATTTATCACGTGCAAATATAAATAATAGTTTTAACGGTTCTGGACCCGTATTATGACAAAAATGTTCAGCATGTGCAGGTATCCATACTGATATACCGGACTTAACATCAGTTTCGACACCATCGATGTGAACTCTTCCAATTCCACTTAAGAAATAGTATCTGAATGAATGAATGGAAACATTTATACATTCAAATGATGAAAAACACACAACTTACACTTCTTCTGCATCATGTGTATGGCCACGTTTTGGAGGAGAAACGCCTACTGGTACTTCTGCTATACCCATAGTGATCCCTGTTGTTGACGTGATGTCACCATTGATAAGTTCCCACCATTTGACATAACCACGATGTGGATGATTCCATTCTTGAGTTTCACAATCATCTACGCAACGAAAAATTGGCCCAGATTTATTCTCGTTCATGTTACAAAATCGAATATTTATGACATATTTTTCGGCATATATTCACTGATACGAAAAGATGAAATGATAAGCGATATAAAAAGAAAAGGTAGAGTACCACATCCACCGAAGAGATATTGACTATTCTCACCTTTTTTTCTCGCTTATCATATAGCCTTGATGATGTTTTGTTTAACTTTCATCTTCATCTTCGGTCATATCGAGTTATATTGTGATTAACACGATTAATCTTGAGTGTGTCAGTGTATGAAATGTTTCTGCAAAACCTATTTGCCATATTTAACCATTGAAAACAAAAGTTCTATGATCAAGAAGAAGAATTTGTTCAATCGTATAACCAAGTTAAATTACTTTTAACAGTAAACATTTCGTTAGCATAAGCTCCTGCATCAGTGATTTTTGAAATTGGTAAAAGATAATCAACCATTAAACGATCATCATTTGTTGTAATTGTTGATCTAAAATCAAATCGATGAAAATGATAATTATTGATTTAGAATTTTCTTACTGAAATTGAAGTGTATCACTTAGAATAGTACTAAGAAGTATTTCTATTTTTTTTCTTAATACGAATTTTATTTTCTCGACATAATTTTGTTAATGCTGTCGCCGCTGAACCAATTGGTTCGAAACGAAGATAAACAGGTTCTGATGTTATTAAATCACCTAATTTATGATGATCAACTACACATATCACATGCATCATTGTTCGTTGACCTGAAAGATAATTATAACTAAATAAGGTCACATAACATGCGTACAGCGTTTGTACGGAACATTGCCACAGACAGAGACTCAAGAAAACATCGTCTTCATTTTTATCATCTGCTGTTGTTCACCTTCATGAATATCGATAATCAATTATTAATTGCCAAGCAAAGTTGTGACGCGAATCGAACAGCAGCATAGAAACACAAGAACTAGCAGATCTCTGAATTCAAGAGAGATCCAATGTATTTTTAAACTTGCTTTAACAAGATATACTACCGGGAGCAGGTAGTCATTCGTCAGCGCCACTATGGAGCACCACTCACGACTAGTCGCTCCAAAACCACCATGTCTATCTTGCAGACGAGTCTAGAGGAAAACCCATATCTATTTTGTTTCATTATCATATATACTCCTCAAGTCTTGAACTCGCTAAAATTTCAACTACAGATTGCTATCCAAATCTCTTAGATCAATATGTAAATCTTACAGCCTATAAATGTAGATTCGTGGATACTTTCTTGGGGACTGGGATCAGGGGCGCACGATACGAGACAATGTTATTTAACTTCCGAAATTTACCCGAACATATTCCCCAAACTTTGAACCGATTTTATCATTAGATAAAATCGAGACAGCAACAGTTCAAGGAAGATTGGAGAAGCTCAGCGATAGAATCCAATTAGAAAATCTAAGTAATGTATTCCTTCCCAACGGCACAACTTTCTTTCCTAAAGAATTTGGGAAAATGTTTCTTTGGTCTATGAAATTTAGCCACGAGATGTTTCTATCATCTATGGCCATCTGCCTAGGGATATTTCTTTTCATCTTTAACATTTGATCTCATCCCTCACACCCACCCTCACCCTCAAGATGGTTCTTTTCTTCTGTCTACTTTTCGACGAAGAAAAAAGAGTAAAATACTTTTAAAAAATAGAAAATAATTCAAGTACTTTGTTCTGCTGCTATTACGCATTAAACAGTAGAAGCGCTGATAATCATCTGTTAAAACTCCCAGCACACCCATCTGTTGACAATCATAGAGACTCAATATTCACTGAATCTTTATCTTTCCAGATAACGATGACTAAAATAGATTTAATGTGACTCTTAGCAGGTGATCGGTTCTGTATAAAAGCAAATGCTCATCAGATCAGATATTAAAACATTTATTCAAAACTACTCATTCAATTCTAAAACATGCATATTCAAACTTTTATTGCCATTTTACTTGTTGTCATCATTAGTCTGACATCTGGTGCAACCATCAATAACATTGGTGACGAAACCGAAGTTCTACCACTTCGTGTCACATGTGATATCGCTTCAATTAGCGCATTTGGTGTCTCTTTTGGAGATTCACTTTGTGCTGCAAATTGTATTCGTCTTGGCTATAAAGGTGGATATTGCAATTCACAAAAGGTTTGCAACTGCCGTCGATAAGCGCCATTCGTTTGTTTCCTCTCAATCAAAAGTTCAATGAAAAAAAACAATTGAAATGGAATGGAGAATATTTTCGAAGAGAGTGAAACACATTTTTCTTGAAAATTAAATCTTTCGAAATAAAATCACGAAACAAACAATTGTTGATTATATTTCTTAACGACAGAATGATTGATTGAAAAAAAATCAAGTTTGGGAATGATATGATCATTCGTTTTTTCTTCTCATATCTGAAAGACGAAGTCAAAGTATTTTGTCACGATCTCCACCGTATGTACGATGGGTTTTATTCAAATAAATTTATTTTTTATTTAAGAAAGACATTCCGACGGAATTTCGAAGATACTTCGATCGATATCTTCCGCGTAGTTATACGTTATCAATGTTCCAGAGAGTTCTAAAATCAAGATCATTATTCATTTTCTCCGTCTAACAAAACCAAATCTTACCGGAATTTGAAGGTATGTACTTCGATTCGAGTAAAAGACATGAGTCTCGACTAACTGTTCGATAACTAAGTAAACCATAGTTGTACTTTGTCCATGTATCTGCGAGAACTTCTTTTCCATTATAATTATAAATTGATGTGTTGACGTAATTTTCCGATTCTAGAAAAGAAGAAAAAGCCAAAGTTGAAACTTTCCATCTCAACTGACAACTTCTCACCCTCGATACAATTCTTAGGCGAATCAGGTAAATGATGTTTGAGACAAGATTTCCCATCGGCCGAAATTGAGTAGAAGAGTCGATTTTTAAAATCAAAAATTCTGTGAAAATGATCGTGCAGACCAACTATTGAAGTATTTGTAGGTCCTCTGGTTGCCAATAATCCATTTTCAAGGTCGCGAACTTCTTCATGTTCAATCTATGAAATCGATTCTCAATCAAAAGACAAATTCTTCTTTAGCGAAATACTTACAAAAGTTGTGATCAGCGTTCCGTCAGATGATAACATGTCCGCTGTTGCAACTAATTTTGCACTGGAACGTTTTGGAAAACAACAACGGTTCGGTGGATTTTCCATTGGTTTAGACAAACCATTTGTAATGAAAAGCAAAACAAGAAATAATTTGCAACGAAACATTTTGTTGAGTGAATGAAAATACTTGATTATCTTCATGGTATTTATAAGACAAATCACAGTCATGTCTATGAGTACGAAACAATGGAAGAAAGTCATGATTTGAAGATTAAGGCGAGACTATGGCGTCGAATTGAATTTAAAAAAAGAAATGAATTGAAACATTTGTTGGGTTTATTTCTTTTCAAATCAAATCTAAGAATAAATATGAAAGTACGTAGAAATGTGATCGTTTCGATTAAGCCGAGGAAGTTTTCATTTGATTTTGATAAAAAAATTCGATATGTTCTTCATTTTTCAATAATCGATGGGGTTTAATTTGAAGCGGAGTAAGTTGATCAGTGATCAATTTCTTATTTCGAAAAGTTGAAAAAGTACCATTATGAACAAAAATACAATTGAGTGAAGCAAGTTTATTCACATTTCTTGTTCGTTGATAACCATCATTAGCTTGACAAAGTTGCTTTTCGACATCTTTATTCACATTCTTCTTTAACATTTCAAGTTGTTCATCACCAATTGAATGTTCATCGGATAATTCTAAAAAGATCACATATCTTGGTGGAAATACATCTAATCTTGGATAAGTGGTGAAATCACATAGATCAACTGATAATCGTTGATTTTTCCATTGATGAACTGTTTCTGTCAAAGCATGTAAAACATGTTCTTCTGTTGTTTTCTCTCCAAAAACATCTAATAAACTTCCAATACGATATGCAACTGAGATCAAAGGTATTCGAGGAATGACTTCGAATTCCAATGGTAATGGAATTAAATCATCTGATCGAGAAAGAAATCTTGTACAATTGATCACATCACCCATACGATATCGATTAAGACCAGCTTCAGTTGTAATTACCAATTCATATCGATGTCCAGGTGTAATTTCAGAGATGAGAAGAGTCTTTGGTTGTGTTTCGTGAATATCTTCTTCTTTAATAAATTCAAAAAAGACAGATATTGGAGAGAGAATATATTCATCTGTATAAATAGAAGCGAGAGAACCAAAAAATCCTTCACTTGCACAATAGATAACCACATTGATCAAAGGTAATTTCTTTCCACAATAAGATTCAATTTGATTTTTATACATAACAAATGAAGATCCAATTGCTGTTGATACAAAAACTAATGTTGGCCAAAGACGATGAAGTAAACCACAATGATCTTTCTTTAAACATTCATTTCGAATGTGTTCTGCACGTTGTTGTCGATAAACAAATCCTCCGTATTCCATTGTTAATTCATTTAATGATTCATTTAACGTTTGTCGAACTTTTCGATCATGAAGATTATTTCGAATAACAGAACTTTGATCGACATTGCACGAAGAAATACATTGACAAATCTCTTGAAAATGTTCTTCGATAATTTTCATTGAATGAATAAATGTCGGAGCAAAAAGAATTGTATATGAGAAAAGATCGGGAACTGCTAATGCGAAGATAAGTTGAACAAGTGCACTTGTTTCGAAATCTTCAATATTTTCAATTAAATTCACCGATAAAGTATTAAAAGTAGATAAAACAATGTTCATTCCTGGAATATATGAAACAGCTGAAGAGATTTGAGTAACAGGTCCCATAGGTATTCCATCTTTCGATCTTGGAAATTTCTTTGATTTCTTTCCAATGTATAAATGAAACCATCGTTGTTCAGGACAAGGATATGAAGTTGAAAGTGATCTCCAAATAGCAGAAGTTCCTAAACGTGCCAACATTATGTAGATTTTAGTCATTGTTGATGTTAATGGAAGATATTTCACTTTCGATGTTGTTCCAGAACTTGTTCCATAATAAATTATTGAATTCGTAGTGAGTAAATGTTTTTCACCGTGTTGAATCATTCGATCAATATAATCACGATAATCTTCATACGTTGTTAAAGGAACTTTTCGACGAAATTCATCAATTAGTTTGTATTCCTCTTTTTGAATAAATAAACTTTCAAATGAAATTGCTCGATCCACAAAAAATGCACAGGAATGATTTTTCATCAGAATTCTTCTCAATAATTCATTATTGACTTTTTGTAGATCACACAGAGAATTTTGATAATAAGATAAAAAATGGATTTTTATCGATTCTCATGTAACTCGGATCGATAAATTGTTTTCGTAATTGAATTCGAAAGAATCTTTTCATTAAACATTTCAAATATAAGAACGAAGAAGAAGAACAAATGAAAATGATAAAAGCAAGAAAAGCAATGAAAATTGACAAAACGAGCAAAAGTCGATCTTGAGTGAAGAAATTTAAAAGCATTTCTTTTGTTTATCAATGAAGAAAATGAAAAGACAAACGAAATTCTCGAATAACATCAAATCTTTTGTTTTATCTTTTATTTAGACAATGATTGTCTCTTTTATTTTACATAGTTAAACTAAAAGACCTT